ACTCAATGTTTTAAAGTTTGCATAGCAAGTAGGTGAAGAACTAAATGTTATTGAATTTTACTAACTTGATCTAAATACTTTGTGTACATCACATGTTGGCCTGAATGAATGCATTGATTTTCATTCTTAATATAACTAAAATATATCAATTATAAAGAATTGAATAACCAAAAGAGAAAAAAATAGCATGGCTACTATAATAGAATGAGGACATTAACTGTATTTGTATAATTATACAACCAAGTGACAGAAAAGAAGTTAAGTCATATATTCAAAGAATACAAGATTTTTTTATTTTTAGCATGGAAGCAAAGACATCTTAATCTAAAACTTTCATGCTTAGAAACATTCTGCAAACACACAGTCAAGTCACGCATGCATTGTCAAATCCAATGATAATAATGTAAATGAAGATTCTTAAGAAAAGAAAGAGCCATCATTCACATCATTTAACATTGTTGTCTTTGTCATGGGAAGAAAAGAAGACATTAAAAATATAGTGGTGCATCTGAGGAACAACATAAGATAATTATCTTAGGTCCCAATTTACTGTAAGTTTGTACAATCATACTTCTTCCACACTCAAAATGAGGTATATAATATATTTTTAATTTACAAGTGTCAATTACAAAACAGAGATTAGTATGATCATATTACAACAACAACAATAATCCTCAATAATATCCCAATAAATTAACAAGTAAATAAAACAAAATCCTTTGTTCAAAGTGATATTGCCATCATCAGTATTCAACAATTTCATTTCATAAGATTTAAAATAAAAAATTAAGACACATTTCAAAATTTTGGAAATGTAGATGAAGAAGTGTCACCCCAATAACTCCAATTATTCTTTTAGTTTTAAATGAACTAATTTTTCTGTAAATCAAATCTCAGTCTTTGATTCTGTAATGTACAGAATTTATATTTAGAAACACACACTCATTTTCTATCTTTCATTCGTACAGTCTCTCTGTGGATCTTGTGCATATTCAGGCCATAAATTACATGATTTCTCCTTTTCATCAAATAGGAAAATTAGCTATATTGTTTTCAGCAAATCATAATAAACAGTCCTCAATTATGAACCCTTTTCTCAATTCCACAAATTTGGCAGGTAATAAAATGGGGTGAATGATGTCTTCACGATGAACTAAATAGATCAAAAATTAATTTTGTAGTGTCATAATGAAAGAAATGTTCAACAAATTATGACATTACATATTTATGAAAAAATGCACCACATACTCAATCTTGAAATTTCTAATACAATTTGACAACATTCAGTATGCAGTCTGGAATCTTGTTACATTCTATAGAAATCTCTCTTGAACAATAATGAGCTTCAGTTTTCTAAGTAAATTATCCCAAGAAGCAACAGGGGAAACCTACTTGTTCACCTGCAGGGCTTTCCAATATCTAAATGTAGGTATCAACTAACAATAAACAGAACTACACCCATTTTATGTTCACAGTAATGATATGAATGAAAAAGATATGAAGATGTAAAAAATATATAAAATTGCATTTGATCTTGTTTCGAAAATGGCTGTCAAAAACCCTTATCTACCTAGTGTTTGCAACAGTTAGGTATGCATTATTAGTAGGGAGATCATACAATTAATATTTTCAGGGACTGCCTGGAGGCACAGCCAGTTGTCAATATCAATATTTTAAACATATATATAAAAGAAAATTTAAAGCAATTTTGCCATAACTTCTATCACTGAATTGGTTTTGTCACTTTATTATTGTGAACAGAAAATTATGTAGCTCAATTTAAGAAAATGAAATTTGTATACATCTCAACAGTATAATTTTCTACAAGCCTCTTGTATCAATTGTTTATGATAAAAAAACACATCACAACATCTCTTGAGATTCAACAGATATTTGAGAGAAGCATCTTTGATGTAGTAAAAGATGTTGAGAAGAGTAGAATAATAAAAAAAAGCTATAATAAAATGAAAATGTATCTGCCAAAAGGCAACTGTTTTTGTTCCATAAATATGTGTAAAGCACCCATAAAATGAAATTAAAAATATCTTAAATTTAACACTGAATGAATAATCAACCCATACGAATAGTATACTGATTCTTTTCAGACCACAATGAGAAACTGATAAGGGAAAAGTAGAGTGATAAATTTTACTTTGCATTTTCCCCAGTCTATGTGCATACCAATGTAGCAATAAGTCCAAAGCTTGTAAAATTCTTAATATAAGAATAGTTTAGCAGCTTTTACATAGGAAAACTTTTTGGGACGATCTGTACTCACACTACACAGAACAAATTCAAGCTTACAGATATTAAGCCTTTAGTATTTTTCATTTCCAGAAATTTCATTTCTTTTCTTTCTTATCTTCATTCAATTTACTTGGAAATTATATTACCAACTGAATTTATAAAAATCTTTAATGAGGTAAATATTTGAAGATTTACCATATTATGATCTCTATAAAAAATATTAAATCAGTAAATACCTGACCATTTTTTAAGTATGCCCAGTGGCGTAATGTTTGGGCCCATAATCCAGGCTAGCTCAGGTAAAAGAGAACCTATTTGTAGGGGATATTTTTATTATCTAAGATACTAACACTACTAGTGTTCGCTCTACACTTTTATAAGGGGGCCCCGGGCAAAAGTTTTGCGGGCAGGCCCGCATTCATTCCATTGCGCTACTGAGTAGGCTCTATATATAGTTTAACAATCACACTTTCCATCCATAGCTGTACAGAACATTAAAGGAACTCTACTCAACATATATTACATGCCAAAAACATTTTTATAAATTGAGAGTAAACTAGCTGTAAATTATTTAAGAATGCTGTGTTACAAAATTACAAATTATTAATATTATTATTTTCTTTTAATAACTAGTTAAAAAATTTAATTTTCGTATCACTGGAATGTCAATCACTGGAATGGTTGAATGTTAGATGAAAGTAAATTTTGGGATTTAATTTTGGCATGAAAAACAATCACTCTATTATAGATCCATTCTTTGAAAATGAGCTAAACATTTTTGTCTTACGAGCAGTTATTCCATTTTGTGGAATAGTGATACTATATCAAATGAATTTGATATCACTAACAGGTAACTAAAGTGGAAATCAACATAATGCTACTGATGAGTATTTAGAAACCGAACATGAAAAATTTGTTCTTAGTAAAGTTATTCATGGTTTGTCACAAAATTAAGAAATATCTCACATACTGAAAGGGTGACCCTTAACCAAGCTAGTGACCCCCCTCCCACTCAAAAAAGTTAAAATTTTCTTCCTCATACCCTTTGAAAGGTTCACAATGAAAGAAAATAGGTAGCACAAAATTTCAGCCACTTGGGTTGATAATAACCCATGTCACTAAGGAGTTAAAAAATAATGCAACCTTCATCATAACTTATTTTTAAAATGATATTTAAATCAATAGTTATAATTAAAGTCATCCGATTGTTTTCCAACCATTTCAACTCATACCAAATTCAGAAAACTTTCATTGTAATTGTAAATTTTAAAATAAAGTTTAAATTGACAATTATAATGAAAGTTGTCAAAATGTTCCCCAACAATTTCAACCCCTTGGTGACATGGCTTATAATCATCATCTTTGTCCTCATCATTGCCATCACCATTGCCTTCCAAATCAGCTGAAATTTTGCACATTTCATTTCTTTTGCGTTTTGAACAGCATTAAGAGAGGAGCAAACAAACATTTTAACTTTATTTTTTTAATGGCTACCCTATTGTACATAATTAAGAATAATTATGTTTGCAACACTAAAGTTTTCAAGCCAATAAAATTCTACATTAGAACAACATTCAGCCCCATCCTTTAAGTATTCTTAAGCAACTTAAGGCACATAAAGCAAAGTGCAATTTTTTCTAATAGAATGCAAATAAATGGCCAATTAATATTAGTTCACAGATGCACCGAGAAAAAACTGTAACAGAATACAGATAAAGAATACTTCAAACTACTACTAACTGTAGCAGTGTAAGTTGACATTTCAAGAAAACATTACAATCAATAACACAATGGTGAGGTAATAGAATTGTGTCATTTGTCTTGTATCTCCATTTCCAATGTCAATTTGTGTAAAATAAATACGTAAATGTGCTCCATTTAAAAATATCTGCTCTCACTTACATGCACAATAATGTGACATATTCTCACACAAATACACACGTAACTAATGCACATTCATATGCATTGACACTAAGTATGCTCTCACATTTACTAAAGGCACTTCTGCAACACAAAGCTAAAACGTATATGCATCTTATGAAATATATATCACTACAGTAGATGCAGACATCACTGTAAACAGTAATTGATTACAAAACTTCACAAGCAAAAATTCGTGTTGGAACATATTCTTATGAAATGAAAACTTTTAGACTCAGGCAATACACATTCTTCAAAATGGTACAGTAATATCAATCATTCAATTGATAGTAGTTCTCCATTCTCACATTTTAACAAAATCTAATTAGAGCCTTCACTTATTCTAATAATGTTTCAGGGAATTTTTGAAATTGTGCACAAATAAATCACAGACCATCAATAACAAATATCAACGCACAGTGCTGTTATATATTAAGGCTTTTTCATTTGAGGCATTTCCTCTTGTCATGTTAAGCAACAACAATAAAATGCCAGCCCCTTGACATTTTTAATATACAAAACTTTATGGTTCTACATTGCTTATGAATTTATTTTAGAATCAATAATATATTGCTCTACTTGGGAACATTTTTGTACTAACAAAACTATCTCCTTTCAAATTTAGACTTGAGCAGAACCCTATAAGCACAGTGATGATGAGTCATAGCCAGAGAATTGGTAGACTCAACAATAGTGTGCATTGTTGCATGCAGTTTCAGAAAATACAAACTACTTCTGCACTCCTACAAATACTCTCTAGTAGGAAATGACAGTTTCGAATTAAACTTTAATTCACAAGAAAAACAAACAAAATTTTTTTTTTCTGAATTTCATTCAATTAAAAACTCAGCTAGAGAATCCAGATGTGTCATTGACTTGTACATAATATATTTTTTTGCATTTTCTTCACTTGCATGCACAAGAAAATGTCTGCATTCTTATACATTACATGTTTAAACAACAGGAAATCCTGGATTTAATATTCCAAACCCATTGGGTTGATAATAATATATTCTCAATGAGCATTTCCACATTACTTCTTGCCCGTTTCTTCTTCACTAGACCACCGCTTTTCTTGTTCCTCAAGTTCGAATTCCCATCGTCTTTCCAATTCTAACATATCATTTGCTATGCCAGCTTCATATGTATCCTCCTATAACAAGAAGAAAATTAATAAGTTTTTGAATTGTTCATCAAGGTGAAACTATTGCTGTAAGATGTGAATTGGTCAAGTTTGAAATGTTCATCCAAACAGTCTATATTAAAAAGCAGCGATGAAAAATTCTGTGACCTACTTGTTAGTAAAACAAGAAACACATTTGTTTTAAATACTCTTTAAAACTATACGTAGAAAATTATCACAAAACACCTAAGGGACCATCCATATACTACATAACACAAATTCAGGGGGGGAAAAAAGGAGGAGGAGGGTGAGAACCTACTGTGTCAATTTAATTATATTCTACAATATATTATAGATCAGTTTTGAATATTTCCTTTGTAATCTAAGATTCAATCAATATACCATGGATGAACATATATTTTCAATTATTGTAAACAAGTCATAACTTATTATTTTGTTTATATTTTTTAATTTAATTTGTTAATATTTTAATGTTTTAGTGTAAGACTGAATAAAAGGAATTATTGCAGTAAATGTTGAGAAAAAAGGCTATCAGTATCAAATAACATTAAACTTAATACTCCCCAACCCCCATGTAACGCAGTGTAATGCTTCCTCAAACCCCCTTCTCTCCTCTTTAACATTACATAATTTACAGACGAGCCCTAAGCAGAAATTGAAAATAACATGGTATGTATGCTAAAATAATGAAATTCAAAAATATATTTACAAATACTTACGAACATGAAAAATATAACAATTACGTTAGTCCCTAAAAATAATTTTAAACAATTTCTTATTTTTGATCTTACAGTAAATGCATTTATGAAATTTGAAAAAACTGAGTTTAGCGTTACTTAAAGATGTATTTCTGATTTTTTAAAATCTTTATCTTCAATAACGTATTTGGAAGGGGTCCAAATATTTTTCACTTTTGCAATTTTCAAAAATTGAAAGGTTTTACTGAAAATCGTATGTGTATCATTTTAAAAAGCATACTTTCCTTTATTTAAACAAATAATTTAGAGAAATAAGAAGCTATTCTTGAGAAAATATTGAAAATGTAGCAGGCATGACTTCATTTAATGTAAAAGGTTCCTCTATTATTGTCTATGGTTTATATTTTCATTTAATTGACCGCAAAAAAATAATTAGTCTTTTGCTGGAGAAACTTATTTTCAATAGGTTACAATTAGCTTCATAATTAATTTTCATTTCTTAGTTCGAAAATTTCTTATTTTTCTTGTTTTGCTCAATATACCTAAGGTACATATTCTTATTTTAATTATCTTTCTCGGTTCTTTTTCTGATCATAAAACATTACACGCTCCCAGCTGCTACAGGCTTAGAGCCTGTATTAAAGACTGCATCATGCTAGTGAATAAGCAGAAGCATAGTGATGGGTTGTGAATTTTATTGAATTTGTGGAGGAATGGCACACTTTTTCTTTGTCTAATGCATTACCTCCAGTTAGCGGTCATCCTTGATGTTTTCGGTTTTTACAATATTATGTAATTCTGCACTGTTTTCCTCGGATATTTAAAACTGCCTTCGAATGTATTCAGTTTAATACACATTGAACTGATGAAATTTACCGAACTTAATTTACGGAAGTTAATTTATTTGTGTGAATGCTTAAAAGTTTCCGAAGCTGATGTCATTAAAACCAGAAAAAAGTTCTTTCGATTTGAAAGTGTTGGAAATGGAATTTAGTGAAATGGCTACTCCGCAGTCATTCATTCATACAATATTTACAGGTTTTCCAAATAGGATTAATTGTCCCTCATCCGGCTATTATTAGTATTAGCCACAGGGCACTGGCAAGAGTTGGTCCAATAGTTGTAAAGCCAGCGTGAGACTTACAGCATGTTATGAATGACAGAACCATGCCCATGGCAGCAAATGGAATCGTTCCGACGAAACTTAACTCTTGGGTTTATTTATAAACAACTGCTACTGCTACGGTCTCCCTGAAACAAGGCGCAGCCTTCTTTCTCAGATTACGTCCGTTGTGTAAACAGAAGAATCCGAGAAACTTACGCGTTGTTCTGTGAAGTGAGAGATCATGGATAGCCTTACAAAAATATCAACACAACTGTTATTTCCGCCATCTTAAAATAAAAATCAACATTACGTTGTTACAATCAGCATTGTCGAGAAGTTGAAAATTGACTGTTTACCGTAAACAAAAATGTGTATCGGCAAAAGGGTCTCCAAAAGGCCTTCTCGTGACGAGCCAAGTGAAGTTTTACGAGAAAGTGATGGGTCCAAACTTGCGAATGACGTAAATATATCGGACAGTGACAATGATGAATACACGTGCGCAGCTGGTCCTGATAGGGTATGAGCCTCCTAATGAATTACCTGATAACAAAAACTGATCGAGGTAATTCGCCTGCTGCTACTCCAGACAGCTTAACGGAAATAACATATGTTGAAGACTAAAAAGTGAGTTTGATATCTCTCGGAGAAATGCAAAATTAGCAAAGGAAAACTGAAACTATCCCAGAAACTACATAACGGCTACAGAAAATCAAGATACTGCAGAAACTACAGAAAACGAAAATAACCCTTGAAGAGGAAATATTTCGTACAGAAGTAGGCCGGAATATGTCAAGAAGAAATTCAGACAGTAGTCAGATTGAAAAATGGAATCAATATTTCTATGGTACAACTAAAAACAATTGAAAATACAAACGTATAAGAGGATTTGGTTAGGAAATTCGATTCAGCTGTTACAAAAAATGGTTATCAGCTTGTTATTTAATGAAATATCCAGCATGTATTGGAACATCTCATTTACAAAGACTATTTGAATAAAAAATGACAGAACAGATTGCTTTCAAATATTGGGTAACTATAGATCATGCTTAGAAATAATGTAGTCACCAGTGAATTAATTTTTAGAAAAAATCGTGGGTTTCAGATACCACGTTGCCACACTCCATACTGCAACTCAAAAACCTCTGAATGACGATAAACAAAACTTTAACACCAGGAGGGTTTTTTAAAAGACTAAGTCACTACATCCACTTGCGCTATACTTAAAAAAATTAAACTTCAAACACAATAACTGCTTTTCGTGAATGCCCGAAACACGACAGGAAATCAATTCACAATTTTCAGCGAAAGCTCATGACTACGAGGTGGATTTTAAGGAACGTCATTTTTTACTTTTCACTTTAAGACAATGTTCAGTATAGAAATTCATTTTATGTTATGCCAAAACGAAATGGCCCATTTTTATGTCTATTTTGCATTTCTCGTGGGTTTTGAATAATCGCGACCGTATCGTACAGTGCTGGAGATCATGCGATATTAGCGGCACGACCGAGAAAGACGCGGAATGCCGTGAAATATTCCATCGTGAAGAAGGCCCTCATGCGCCAAGAAATAAAAACCCAAGTATAGTTGCAAGCAAGGAAGCGCACCAATGTGTAACACCACGCCAATGGAAGTTTAATATTGCAAAGTGCGAGCCACTCGAGTCACTGCGCGTACGTACCAACATTACGAGCACTTCCTCATTCCCTAAGCAAATTTTATTTTATAGAATCGCTCGTAACTGAAAGTACACAAGTTCATTCAATTCTTGACGGCATTGAATGCATTATTCGGAATGTCCGAAGAATTTATTTTCATTTTGTATTACATTTGTTGATTCAAAATAGGCATTTGTTGAATGCATTTTCTTCTGTGGAAAGGTTGACCGCCGTGAGGACTTTTTTTCCATTGGCCTCAGTGCGTGCAGTTTCGGGCAGTCATTTCGGCACATTGACTTATGTATAGCACTTCATATAATACAATGGTATTTTTTCAATTTTCTTTAAATTGTCGTGTTAAGGAAGTTAAAAAATTAAAATAAGTAAAAAAAAGCTTTTTCAAAAACTTAATGGATTCAAAATATACATAAAATGAAAGAGCATATTTTGTTCTTTAATGTGGTCATAGTACTTCACGTATGACGGTCGTGAGGTACTTTTTCAAGCGAAGTGGACAGGGAACCGAGGCGGGGCGTAGCAGAGCTGAGCTGAGCTGAGGTTCCCTATCCACTGAGCTTGAAAAAAGTCACTTCAGGGCAGAGGTTCATACAATATATATTATATATATATATATATAATATATTAATATATATATATATATAATATATATATATAATATATTACATAGGCGACTTATAAAAGCGGCTCTTCAGGGCATGCCTAGCGTGCTAAAAGTACAATTTTTAGCACTAGTGGTACAATTGAGACGATGCTCAAATCTTAAGATAAATCAGTGAATACAAGAAAACAAAATTCTTTTGTCTGACCGAAATATCCAAAAAGACAAAATGACGAAGGGACAAAAGGATAAAGGGGACAAAGAGAAAAAAGGGACGAAATGAAAAAATGAACATAAAGAGGACAAAAGGTCAAAAACTCATTAAGGCTGTCTAAAAAATAATGTATGCCACACGTACAAGTGCTTTTATTTTCACGCGTAGGATTGCGCCACTCGGCCTATTCGCATTCCTACCAGCAGAATAAAAGGTCACTTTCAACACTTACTCATAAATAAGTTAGGACATTCATTGTTTCGAATTTTGGCAAAGCTACATTCTACATATAATATTTTAAACAATTAAAAATACCGGTGCATTTGTTCGCGTATTTGGCGTATTACTTAATTTTGGCGTATCTGTTCCAGAAGGTACGTCTATTGTGGCGTCGTTAACACGAGGGCCAGAACCGTTAGGTCGGTGAAAGTACGCTGCGGGGGGAGGAAGTCGGGTTGAGCCGAAACTCCTCGGGAGTTGCGGCTCTGGGCGGTTGACTCAGGTAGAAGCCGCAAGAGCCAAAATAACCGTTCGCTTGTAAACTCACCGAGGATGCTAGCCAGCGAGCCTCGACCTTAATGGCTTAAGCAGGCGAGCCCAACCTGAGAATCCGAGGTGATGTGGGGCGTAAACCAAGCTGCTGGCTCAGGGACCTATCTATGGAAACAGTGGTGGGGTGTCAGCCTCAACTATTTAAGCGCGGCGCCATCTGCGCCCGCGTTCTCCATTCAGTTAGCATCGGAGGAGCTTGTACGGGTATGTACGAGGAGTGTAGGATGTGGGCAGAGATTCCGAGAGTAAGGCCAGACGATCCTCCGTGCTGTGGCACACGTCGCCACGCCCGGGTTAACTTTTTGGCGTGCAGGCCATGTGACGTATGTTCACGGGGACGGGCGTCCGCACAGCGCGCATCACGCGTGACTTGTGTAACGTCGTGCCGAGGGGCAGATGGACAAACACATGTCGGAAGGCCAGCTAGGGGGCCGGTGCGCGTCCTTTTGGGCGGCAAGCGAAGGCCACCAGAGGTGGGCCCCTCCTCAAGGGCCCGGCGGCTGGAGCTGACTCGAAGCGTGGGTGTCAACGTGCACAGAGAAAATTGATGAAGTGTGTCCAAGCGCCGGTGGCGCTGGACTCAGAAATTGGACGAACAAGCCACGTTTCGGGATGAGAAGAGCCCACGCATGTGAGGTACTGTCACGTGACCCTCGCAGGCGGCTGGAGAGCACTACCGTGGGCATTCGAGTTGAAACCGAATCGCGATAGCGGAAGGCCACATTTTCACCCGCCAGGCGGTTCCATCGCGAGCTTCGGCAGCGAAGGTGGTGGCGGTTGCAACGGGACGAAAGGCCAGGAGCGGCGCCAAGCCGCTGGGTGTCTGCGGCCAGGCTTGGGCGGGGATGCCTCAGAGCCATGTACAGTGGCTGGGAGTGTAGCGGTTTCCGAGGAGTAATGTGTATTGTGTAAATCAAAATTGATTAAATAAAAACTGGTATAAGTCAACTCCGTGTCCTGTGTGTTACTACCGCACCCGACGACGCCAACACTTGTATTTTCTGACGGTTAAAAGCAGTGTTTCTGAAAGGAAAAGGTTGCCGAGGTTTTACTATTAGGCATTCATTGTACTTGTACAATAATCTTTATGATATTATTTTTCCTTTTGTTATTGAAATTTATTTCTTATTTCACTACGTCACACTTTATTAGTTTGCAGTTATTAAATTATTATGTACAACAGTAATATGAATTAATGCAATTGCTTTGAAGTATTCAGAGACGGAAAAATCTACGACTTTTTGGTGAAAATGTTCAGTATTGTAAACCATTCAAAATATAAAATAAAAGTCAGGCCTAAGTTATTATGCTAAAGTAACAACATATTTGAAACACAAGTATGTCGATTATGAGCCGGAGAAATCGAAAGTACTGAGCAGAGATGAAATTAATCGATTTTTATTGGAAGCGTGTGATGATACTTTTTTAATGATGAAGGTACATGATGTGCTTTTTATTTTAAAATGTTAATAATTATTAATTAGAATTTGCTACAACATGATTTTGTTCTTTAAGGTGTGCTTATCATTGGCGTGGCAGGGGCGTGTCGTAGAGAAGAGCACAGTTTAATAAATCTCAAAAGACATGAGGGTTAGAAGAGCCCATCAGTCGACGAAAAATATTTAGAAGATTCTGTATCGAATAAAAATAAAATTTCCCGTGTCATCGCAAAATGAAATAGAAGAAAGAGAAATCAAAACATCCGCTGGAGATCCAGACACAGTAGGGGTAACAAAATTAGTTTCGATTCCCGAAGTTTCTTTGAAGATCTTTTAAAATTTCTTTTACAAGTTGTGTTTTCAATATCAATGTTCAAAAGCAAATTCTGTAGTTGTTGTTTATTAAATTGATTTTGACTAGAAATGTTGAACAAAACGGCTCAATAAAGCACTTGTTTTCATTTAATGATTCTGTATATATGTTGGCATTACATGCTTTATTTCGCAGTCTAGGCACTAAAAGTTCAGGACCTAGGCTGCAAACGTGAAGCGTTAGGTACTATAAAAGATCTGTGAATTTAACCTTAGAGATAAGGGTGCGAAAAAATATTAAATGTCACAATTACAACCCGAGTTACAAACGATTAACTTTAGCGATGAGTTTTTCGATTGATTGTTGATTTCGATTCTTTGTAATTAAATGACAAACAGGGTTTTCATATTTTTGTTTATACTCGCCACAGAAAAAAAGCTTAAAATGTGATTAAATTTGGGCGATTTGACGTTCATTAACTAATCTGCAATTCTTGGCACCGTAACATTCTTCGTGAATGTTTGTATAGTATGTATGTAGTTAGTTCTGCACTGTTTAGACTGGATATATAGTTAGTTCCTCTAACACGTTGTGCAGTCACAATTCACAATTTGCGTGGTAATTTTGCGAGGAATATAGGGAGATTTAAAAAAAAATCTTAAAAACGTCAGTAATTGTTTCTTTGAAATGAAAACTTTTGAAAAAGCATTAATAAATATTTTGAGATTTAAAAGAAATCAAAATATACAGCCAGAAAGTAACATTTTTTTGTTTATATTATTAAGTATTTACTAAGTTATATTCATCAATTTCAGACTTTAATACTGCTTAAATGTGGAAAAGATAAGTTAAGGAAAGACATCTTTGAGATTTCAATTTTTGCACCTTTCTTTTTTTCTATTTTCATTAAATTTTAGATTACACATAGAATCTAAAAACATCACGATCACAAAGGTTTAATTTAATGTTGGTATAAATTCTTACACCAAAACTAGGGAATTTTTCTTAAATTAAACATAAAAGAAATCCTGTGTAATGAATGTATGTAATATAACTTCATACTCACATCATCACTTCTGCACTCTCCATGGGATTTCAAGCCCCAATTCAATGCCCCATTGTTGTTTAGGGTAACAGTAGCAATTGAAGGAGAAGGTAATGATGCAGACATCAGGTAATTCTGTGAAAAAGATTAATGCATCAAAAATCAATTTAACACTTCATGTACAATTGGTACTAGAATGAAAGTTAATTCTTGTAACACAGCATGCTCTACCTATGAATTCCAAATACTGTTAACAAAGGTTACATCACAACATTATTTTAAAATAGATTATAGTCCAGCAATTTTCAACTCTTTTTCAAAGGGAGATAACTAATGTTTTGTTCCGTGCATACTAAAATACCTATCAATTCAATAATAACTACAAAATGTCTCTAGAAGAGTCTAACATAAATACGCAACTTAGGAAACACTGAAGCCTCCATGACTGCTATTTCCCCCTGATTTATCACATACTAAGAATATGAATATGGCAAGAAAGTAATAAGTGTTTTTTACAATTCAACTTTCCAATGCGTTTTTGCTTGGCATGTTTTTAAATAAGCTTTTGCTGTTAAAGATGTTTTATTTTTTACTGATGCGTTATTGCTTGTTATTGCCTTCATTACGGAGTTTGAAGTGCGCTTCATAACTTACTTGGATACTTGAATCGACAGGATCGTGATTGCGAGGGAAATATGAAAAACAAACTGAACCACGTCAACATTAGTTAATTAGTAAATCTCAATCATTAGACCTTGGTGGCTCGTTGGTTAGCATGCTTGCTTTCCACTATTTATAATCCTGAGTTGGATTCCCGGTCAGGACAATCATTAATTGTGCGCTTTCCTTGCAATGTCCCAGTATCGTTTGCTGTAAGAAGATGAGAAAGGTGACTTCTAAGGCTCTTCGTTTCTAATTTGCAGGTTCTCGAATCAGGATAGATTGATAGGGAAATATTTAGGGGCTAATGTTGTTCACAGATGGATGGAGAGACGGAAAGAGGCACAGAGGTTTAAAAAATACAAACAAACAAACAAAACAACTATTTGGGGATTCCAACACGTGTATTCTGTTAAAATCTCCACATTGATTTTCCGCAGCACTACATAACTTTCTTTACACTACACACATTACGAACACGAGGAAGAAAACAATGTACAAGAAATTACTAAGAACACTACTTAGTAAATATTATCATAAGTATACACATTACAGCCGAGAAAACTGTGCGTTATAAGGAAGAATAAAATATAGAAGAATTATGAGAATTGCGAAAATTCATTGTTTTCCGAATGTTCTTCGCCGTTCTCAAAGCTAGATAAGATCTTTACATCATTTCATGTACACGTTTCAAAATATTAGTAATTTCAGTCAAATAGTGATCTTTTTCCAAAACTTATCGATACAAAAGACAGAAAATTAAACCATCGTCTTAATGGAGATTTTCTCTAAATAAGGTTTTCTAGAACATTTTTATTCGGTTAGCGAATCGTAGGAACCACAATTTCTCCTTGGGTGAGAGAATGTACAGCTGAAGAAGTTCGATCATTGTTGCCATGGCAAAGAATTGAGTTAAATGCCATCTAGATTCGACAATTCAGCCTAACCAAGCAAATTATTGTCCATATATAGTACAACATAAGTGTAATTTCTACTTGTAAAGTAGGTTTCTGAAGATACTTTTTAAGGCATGCTATGTGCACTGTCTGAGGCAGTCAGATGAATTTTGAGTGTTGAATTTGGAGCTGAAATATTGGAACTTCAAACTACTTATTTACGTAACCGTTACTGACAATACGAGTTTGCGTAGTGCTACAGCACCACAACTTTATAAATCAGATCCTTACGATACGTCCACACGAGTCTCTCCGGTGTAAAATTGCACGAGTCAAGGAGAAAGGCGCACTTGCAACTCGACACATTTGCGCTACGCTGTGCCTCCTTGCCGTTCACTGGATCTGACGACGCGATATACACAGGCTTTGTTTGCACTGCCTACACTTACAATCTACGCTATTGCATGCGCCCTTACTTTCCCAGAAAGAACGATGCATGTCCGAAGCGCATGCGCCAAATTTAACGAAGGCGCTTCGTAGAGTCGCAGTATAACGTGACTTCGATGCAATTTGTTTTGTGTAGACATCGATGAAAAAGTAGGAATGACCACAGCATAATGCAAGGTAATCTGTATTCAACGTGTAGTGTTTCAGTTTTAGTTATTGTTATCACATTAAGTGCATATTTCCTTCAAATTCGGCGCCAGGGACCTGATCAACCGTCAAGACCTCCTTGGGACTAATCCAATCTGAGGGGGTACGTTTTTGATAAGCGCGCGTTCGAGATAATACATTAACTCTCATAATCATAAAGCAGCAAGGAGCTCCGGTTGTGACGTCAATACCATTGAATTTAGTCAACTTCTCCAGAATTTTAAACTTGATGGCGTCTGTGATGGAAGCATTTGTTGGAAGTCGGAAGCGAACGGTTGCTGTATAAGAACTATTTCTCCTCGATGAAAGCAGTTTTCACCTTAGTGGTGATTATAAATACCTGAGTTATTAATTCAACGTCTGCTAAACAGTGATGTATTCCCTCTCATGCTCTGCATGCGAAGAGACGCTGCCGTGACAGCGTGGCAAAGGAGCGGGCCAGATGTATCCATAGGGCCGCTTCGCTCACCCCCCACTACTCCCACTGCCCACGTAACCAGCGAAACGTCAATTTTCCAAAGATGGCACCTCATTGCTGGACAGCCATCCTCGAAACGCGACATATTACAAGAATCCAGGTTCCAGCACCCCGTGACCTCGGGTCCCTGAAAGCATCTTCGACTGCGACCACGAACTTGTGTAATTAACATCGAAAGCGAGCTGTCGCCTGCTCGACTCGCTCCGCTACTTCGCTGGCCGCCGAAGCCCGTGGTTGGGTTGCGAAGCGATCACGAGCCCCCCCCGCCGCGTGCTTCGCCGCGCAATAAGCTCAGAATAGAGGGCACCCAGAGCACAAAAAGGACTTGCAGACTCGGGTCCACGTCATAAAGCGATCGAATGCTCGCGCGCCGAATTGGTATCACGTCAAGGCGATTCCACCGCCACGCCCACCCGCATCGCTCTGCCACTGGTCGCCCGAACTCCGAGGCGCGAGGTCGCTGGGAGTGGACCACTGCCGCCTTCGCCGGGCCAGAGCGCGCCGCTACGGGGCAAACACGATAACACGAGCGCGTCGCCCGATCAACGGGGGGCCCGGAGTCCGCCAGTGGCATCTAAGAAGCGCGTGGGTTCATCTGCAATCTTCCCTCTTCAATTCACCAATCATCCCGTATCTAAATTGTAGATTTATTAAACACGTGTTAAATTTTATTCAAGACTTACGTTGTGTTCTGCACGATACGCTCTTCTCGCCCAAGCTCCTATCGTATTTCAGAGCAGTCGGCCAAACTACGAAGCGTCTGGTGGTTTGGACCCTGGCAAGCAACCTATGACTTATACGGGGTCCCTTACGTTGGCGCTCTTTACGCCTGCGGCCAGAATGTGCAACTAGTGCATGTTCTCTAGCTCAATAATATTTACAAGTAATATTTCTTGACAAAAAAATGCTGTTGAAAAATAATTTGGGCTCGCCGGGTCCAATTTCGACGATACCTTTTATTTAAAGAATATTACATTCGAATACATTTTTGTACTGGTACATAGTGAAATAATTTTGTTAGCGCGTAATGTAAATAGCCCCATAGAAAAAAGGAATTGCAAACGTAAAAAATAATACCGGCTGCGATGGCGTATGCAGTGGCGAGTCCTGGACTGACGCGTCAATAAGTGGTTCGAGGCTGGCGCCCACTGGGGGAGAATTCTCTAGGCCGGCCGCTCTTTTCGGCCGGATCCGTGGTTTCGTCCCATTAAGTCCAGGCGGATGCCGCAGCAGCACTGCAGGTTAGCGGTTACAAACCGATTGCGTTGGGAACCTTTACGAAGTCCACAACATCCATCTTTCAGCGAATCTTCTTGCTTTATTGTTTGGAATAATGTAGTAAGTTGTGAAATGAATAGAAAACATCATATCCACAGACATTCGGTATTCAAATGTAATATTACTTTACCTTATTTTATAAAATACTGCATTTCAAATGTAACGTAATACATGTGTTTAATTTAGCTACTTAAAAGTGATTTAAAAATTAGGCATCATATCCAGCAGTTGAATGCGTTCGTTTTAATTTAATAACTGATTTGGACTTAATTTTTAAGTATTTCCCCGGAATCCTTGGGGTCCGCGGAATAGTTTGGAATAGCTATCCTAGTCAGCGAGCCACGGGCCGCGCGCAACACTCATTTCCCATCCTATCCGCATTCCCATTCTTCAACCAACCGATGCTCCAAACTTGTTTAACCTATTGATTCAAGTAAATCCCCGACAAACCAGATTCCAGAAGAAGCGACAGCTGTGAAGCAGGAAGTGGGATAATTGGGGTAATGATTGGCAAGTGGTTAGGTGGAGGTGGGATTAATGGTTCAATAAACAATAAGAATATAACTAAAACAATTTAACTCAGATAATTAATATAAAATGAGCAATGAAAACTAAATTAATGACTCACCAGACGTAGTTCTTTTTCCTTTTCACAAATGCCCTGCTCAATAAGTTGAAGTTCCTGAGTAAGTTTTTCTCCTTCACTCAACACAACACCTTCAGTTGCGAGCTGAAATTCGATATGAAAATTTAAAAAAGGGTTTTAAATCAGAAATAAATAAAATGCAAATTTAATTTTTAAAATTCATAACATATGTTGAATGGTACCAGCAGAATGGCACACAAACAAAAGCCAAGAAATGTGAAAATTAAAAGGAAGGAAATACAAACAGGTGTGTCATGTTCCAAAATAAAAGACCATTTGTGACCTGCATTGGGTCACAGCAGTGGCCTGTTGGGAATGCAGCAGATGTGGAAATGGAATGCGCAAGTGGAAAATCGGAATCTATATTTCATGCACTACGAATAAACAGATAAAAACATGACGGAATTAAAAATTATAGCCATACACCCCAATTAAGTAATGCGCAAAGAAGGTAGGTACTATTCGAAGCATTCACGTGTTTTACCTCACGTGTTTTACCTTAAATTCATCTATTCGTTTTCTCGGCGTTCTCATGAAGCATATAGTCTATTAGCTATTTTACCTCCAATTCTCAATCGTAATTCGGCTTTAAAAACACATTCCTCTTTAACTATATACAACTCTATTCATCTCCCGATTATAACATACACATGCCCATAATGGATTCCAGTTGCCCCAACAGCTTTAAATAAATTACACATCTTTCAAAACAAAATCTTAAGAATACCAGCAAATGTCCCCTGCTTTGTCAGTAATAAGACACTTCACAAGGATCTTGTAATAGAACCGATACCTTCTTCCTTTATTACGACTCTGATACATAATTTGTTCAATAATTTAAATCATGTACAAGGAGCAGTCACGAAATAGGAAGTGATCAACCCCCACTCTCCCGCCCAAGACACAGACTCCCCTTTCACAATTTTCTTCAATTCTTCGACATTAGATGTGAATAGAATATTTCTTACATTTACCTGTCTCACCTACTGTATTCATTTCTAAACCCTTGTCATTGCTCTCTAACGATTGTTTCGAGAATTATCCTCCTAATAATCTTGGCTGAAGGTTTCAGCTAACAAAAATTATTCGGACAATCAACTGAAGAGCCTCGCAGCTGAACGTTATACAGTCTGTCATTGTGAAACAAAAAATTATAATACAAAAATTGCGAGAAAATGCTGATCACAAAAATAAGACCCTTATTTTCGTATAGAATAATTGGACGATATTGAAATAATTTTCAATGAATACTTATTAAATAGTGAATGACATGTTTACATGCGAGATTTCTTTTTAATCTCCCTGTAGTGTAAAGGGGTACTAGTCACTTCTTTGAGGTTGCCCATTTTTCTTATTAATTTGCATTAGCGTGTGATTGTATTCGTTATGTAAAGATTGAGTTACATGTTTGCTCTTATGCGTTATATGAATATAGGGCGTTGTCACATGAAGTGTATCTAATTCATTGGTAACCTTCGCCCAAACTAAACTGAACTTTTGAATTGTTTGTTAATTGCCCATCAACCATATGTTGGTTATTTTACAACTAATATTCAATTAACGAAATGATCTAGAAACACCTTATTTCCTCTACATCACTGATTCACGTCATTCCATGTGAATAACGCAGTACCTAAATCCGCTTTCCTTTCAACTCCATTTCTGAGGAATCGTGTTTCGCGGTCTCTGTCCATGCCATTTGAAACGGGTGCAAGTGTTTCGCTCTGGAGATTATCTTCTACATGTGCATTTTGAAACTAGTTACAAATCAAGTGTGCAGATGAGAAGTTTCTCCACAATTTTATTTACAGATGAGTGTCCCTTTACAAATGATGGCATTTATAACTTGGATAATTTGCATTAGTACGCGAATGTAAATCCGTATCGCGCGTGGTCCGCGAGGAGTCAGGTTTGCTTTTCTGTAAATGTTTGGTATTTTTTGGACATATCAATTCGATTCTGTTATTTTGCCCCATCGAAAGAACAATAGAGAGTTCTTCAACTTTCTGAGAAGTGTATTGCCATTTATTATCGAAGATTTTCCGCTGAAAAAACATTCATAGGATGCACTGCTAGCGCCTCGAGGCACCTGGGCACTATTGTAAGAAGTGGGCAAGCATCTAAATCCAAAATTCCCAGATTCATGAATTATTAGCGAAGGGCAACAACCTTGCATCTATAACTAGACCTGAACCCTCATGATTTCCTGTATTTATCACTTCTTTACATATGCAACTGGCGTCTCAAATGCCAGGTCTCAAAGTGACCCCACAGAAAAAGATCTGGGAGGGTAAAATCTGGCGAGCAGGGCAGCCAAGCAACAGGATCTGTGCCAATTACGCGACAACCGTCGTTCTGTAACTCGTATTTCCGATCGCAACTGCAGAAGTGTGCCGGTGTCCCATTGTTTCGTAGACACATATGGCGCCTCACAGCAAGTGGCACATTCTATGGGAGAGTGGTCAGCGCCCTCCAAAAATAGGAAGTATGTGGGGGGAGGAATGTACTGGCCAAACAATTCATCTCCCATGTCAAGATTCAAACGCACACGATATTGACACGAAGATGTGGTGCAAGAATTCTAGAACACGCGTGACTTTATGATGTTTTACATGTCAAGACTTCGAAAATATGAAGGTTCGTCAGTGTCAAAAACTTAGACAGGGAATTGCGGGTTATTTACCCCACCACACACGTAAAAAACAGCACACCACATTAGGTAAAACGTCCTTTACGCACAAATGTTGAGTGACAAACCGATCGCGGATGATGTCAGAAATTATATGAGAAAAATCACATTTATCCATTACATGCGATTTCTCACCACATGTTCACGGGCAAAACGTGATCTTTGACCCGTCAACTTTCACACACATTAGTGATCGCATATGGCCCTTCTCGTCCAACAGCGAATTTGTTGCCACTGCAATGGAAAAAAAAATGTTCAAACAACGATTTTTGAATGGGGCCTAATTGTGCAGAAGAGTACTGAGAAAATTACTCCATAAGTAGTTTTTGCATAATCGGTGAAACATGAAAAAGAATGCGAAACACAACCTTCGATTGAATCAATGGGGTGCAAGCAAGGAGAGGTTCAAAATGAGTTTGAAATTATATTTGAAGATGGTGAGAAGCCGAGATACATATCGGTTTTCTTCATCTTTCCGGAAGTCACAAGGACGTGACGACATAAGTGACTGGCTAGCCGAAACCAATCCTCTATGCATTGCAGCAGTGAAAAGGTTTTTGTTGTAAAATTACTGGGGTGTTATTTTCTCTTCAGAAAATATTTTATAAGATTCTATTGGACCCGGAAATGCGTCGCTACTGCAATGTATTACACTTCACACGCTACTGGTCTTGTGATTATTAAACACGTTTTACGCTAAGCTCAGCAAAAGTTGTAGTAGATTAAACGACTTTTTCGCGAGTATGAGTTTGTCCTATGCCCTGATTTGGACATGGTTGTCAAGTACCCTATTGTTAAAACGTTCACTCTCATGTTTGGGCATGCATTAGCGGTGACAAAGTCTTTGTGAAATTTGACTTCTCCGAGATAAAGTAATTCAAGTAATAATTCCGGCCGATATTTCACAATTGCCGGGGCAGAATGTGCAGCGACGGCGCGTTTAATATTGAGGGTACGGCGGGTTGCGTAGAGCTTCTGTTCAGGGATGCTCCAGTCATAAACGCATATATCACCCACATCGCCCTCATTTTGCGTCTATGTTCAACAGACATACGCACATTCCCATTGTGTTATGCCCGTAACCTTCGCGCAAGTGTAAACAGTAAGTTGATAAAGTTTTATCGCAATCGGATGAACGGTAGAAGATGGTATGAGATAAATACGAACAAACATGTATATATATATATATATATATATATATATATATATATATATATATATATATAAATTAGAAATATGATCATCACTTACTTTCCGTTTTGTCTGACATTTGTCTGGATTTGAATAATAATTTGTATATTTCAGATTCACCACGCTCAGGTTTGTAACATTTTACAAATCACTTCTGTGTACGCTCATCCAAAAGTGTCGTTAGTAATTGAAATCACGCTAGTCTGGGATACTGAGTTATTGCAAGAGAAAATAATTTTCGCCATCTCTTCTTCCCATCAACTCAAATTGGGACGACTCAACGAAAAATTGGGTGTTTGTGGCACCCCTAAACCCATTATAAAAACGGTTTTATTGGTGATGATGCTCTTCTTGCATCGAAAACTAACATTTTTTTCGATAAATAAATAAAGATATTGTCAGGTATCAATATCGATACCTGACAATATCTTTATTTATTTTTCATAATAAAAAGGTATCTACTTCACCAACAATCCATAATAACATTTTTTCACTAAGTCATTGACTTCTATTTTTTCGATACAGCCTAATTATTAATATTATGTTTTATGTATTAAATTTTATCAGAGAAAAATGTATTATAAAAAAATGTAAAACAAATCACTTAATGATTATATTACGTTTCTTGACGAAAGTTTCCAAATTAATTTTTAGACAATCAGTTTTTACTTTTCTCGGATACGTACCTATATACGTAGAATAGGGAAAGTTATGTAATGCTGCGGAAAATCGATTTCGAGATTTAAACGGAAATACACTTTTGCGGTCCCCTCATACCAAAAAGGGTAGTTTTTTTTTCTTTTTTACAAAACGCCCGTCCGTGTGTGGACATCATTACCGCCTGAGCCATTGGTACAATTTTTTCCACACTCATTCTTGTGCGACTGGAGGCGCCGGGATTTTAAAAAACTTTCTTCAAAATCTGGGGTACTTAACATGAAGCTTCCCGGACATTTTCAAAATTTTCTCAAAAATTGTTCCAAATTTTTTCTTTTAATTTATTGTAAATATAGAGTAAAATTCAATGTCCGATTTTGAAGCATAATTCTGAATTTTCGAAAATTTCGAAATTTTTAGAATTCGTCTATATAGAAGTCTTCCTACAAAATTAAAAATAGTAAGTTTCCATTCAAATAAAATTTGTTCTCCATTGTGAGTTCTTCCACCACGTCCATTCATTCTTCCATCAGGTTCACTCATTCTTGCACCACGTCCAGTCCATTCGTCCATCACACTCACTCATTCTTCCATCACGGTCATTGTTTCAACAAGTTCATTCAATTTATTAATTCCACTCAAAAATGTACTTTTTTTGACTTGTCGCTCACGTCGTTATATTTATATTAGCGGCAATTTATTCACATTATTTTATTTATGAGTATTTGTGCTTTAAATAATGTCATATAAAGTTTCTCTAAAAATCAACCGTTTTCTGTGAAAACAAGCTCAAAATTCCGCATTTTCAGAAACGTCCAAACGCCATCCGAAAAAGACTCCAAATTTCTCAAAGAAAATTGCCATTTGGGACGACTTTTTACGGTTCTTTAATATTCTTAAAATATTTTCGTTCTACAATTAGGAAAAATAATTTTTTAGAAAATTTAAAAAAAAAAGGTACTTAGGTCAGCGATATATGGCAGCTGGCTAGAGTATGTGGCAAGTTCGTATTGCTGGACGAGACCAAAAGAAATAGAAAACTAATACGGAAAATTCTGTGTAATTCCGTAGCAATTGTTTGTAAAATAAAACGAAAACAAAAAACTGATTGTCTAAAAGTTGATTCGGAAATTTTTATATAAAAAAAGCTTACCTTCAAATCATTTATCTTCTTCTGCAAATTTCTCAGTTGTTGCTTTACTCGCTGAGATTCCAGAAGAAGCCTAAAACAAACCATTAATTTACATACATACAAGTATATACAGGTACCTTACGATAAAAAATGAATTTTTAAACTTGGCGTGATGTGTCAAATTTCCTCTGCGTGTAATGACTACTCCGCTTTTACCAGATAAAAGAACTTACATCATAAGCACTTTATACATTGATATACTAGAACAATTAAAAGCAAAGGGGATTCTCTCGCATGAGACGCAGAAGTGTGAAATAAATAACGGTATATGGATTTGCCGGAGACAAATACCGAATCAGAGCTTTGTGACTGATCTACCCAGACTTAGTTTCCATGAGTTAACTACGGCAACAGTACACAAATGAAGCACGTAACTTAAAGGAAAGTCTGCTCGTCAGACACGCGCGTCAATACAACCTTTAATCTATTTACCCTTAACGGAACAATTAGCATGAATTTCAGAAAAAAGGCACTATGTTGATGCTCTTTTCTTTGAGGATACGTATCAATATGCGCAATGAAAAGCAGAAGATGAATTTTACAATTTCAATTTGTCATGAATCATTAATTATTAAGATAGCTACTTTTTTTGGTTTCGGGTTCTACCTAAAGCCCTAAGATTTCAATATCTGCGCAGAATTTGAACGGTGTCCAGAAGTGAAAACTTTACTTGATGTGCTAGACTATTAAGGCCTGGGATGTTCGGTTACGTTTTAGGTCCCAATTCCGATGAGACCAAAAGTTATCTTCGGAGGATGTACTGTCTTTAGTTAAAGTTGGAAAATGTGAAAACAATCTCCGCATCCAATTTGGAACACACATTTTTCTTCCACGACTCTTCGACCAGGAAAGAAAATATATTGTTGGAAGATCGGATGGTCTTTCTGCTTCTTGAAATGCCAGGTATTTGAAGTTGTCTCCGACCACATGATCCTGCTTGTTTCCATTGGAGTTGCCTGCTAGTAATTCCTTCTTAATACATCGCAGTGTAGCACTGAGGTTATTCTATCACAGTATTCTTAGTATTAATACCGGGCACGTCAGGAGAAATGATCATTAGTTCCGTAAGCGTAGTCCATGTTTTCCTCGAGACAGATTTTTGAAAAAGGGTTGTTTTAGAAAATGTCATGTACAATTGTTCGGGCATACTTGGCCAATTTATATTCACGCCTGTTTGATTATTAGGTCAAGTCTACCACAGTGTGACAGTGTAACAAAGGATAGAACACATTTACAACGAGAGTTTTATTTTTAATCCCTATTCGTGTTACGTACAGAACCTCCGCTAACATTCTTTTGAGTATTACAGGAATTCCAACCGACAGAACATATCATCAGATTGCCCGTGACTAAGCTGCGGATTTTTGCCTATTTGCCTATTTTCCCCTTCAATGCAATATTGTATGTCACTTATTCATTTTGAAGCATTAGGAGCATTAAATACGTAATTTATAGTGCCTATAAATGCCTATTTTGAGTTTAAATGCCTAAATGTTACCTACTTTCGAATTTATGTAACAAAATGTAATTACCCTTAACCGAAAATTAAAAAAAAAAAAGTACGTTTTTTTCGTTTTTATCCTGCAGAGTACAGAGTAATAGAACAATTGTCGATAAATCTATGTTCACATTTACTGCCACAACGGTGCGTTGTTAGTAACAGCGCAGCTTCGTATTATGAATCACGAGCAAAATCACTGGTGGTAGTCCAGTTATTTTTTACTTTTAATTTTTAAGCCAGATTTTCTCCAAATTGTCTCCCCGCATGTAACAAAGGACGGTTTTAAAATAGGTGCAGGTCCCATGTTTCGCGAACTCTTTCTATTTTCGAAAATTGAAAAACGTTAACATTCACAAGTACAATGCAGAGATTTTTGTCTTAAATGAAATCGGTTCTAAAAAAATAGATCTTTAAAAAAGTCGTGTATATTTTTTAAAAGTGTTTTTTACGTAAGTATCGCCTGAAATTAATGTAAATTATAAAAAATCTCAAAAACAGATACAAATGTTTTTTTCTACAGATTGAACAAGACACACCCCAAAAGCGCAAGTCTCATTTTCATTGAACTCTGAATATTTGAAATACGCAAATATTAAATTTTTTTTTAAATATAAGGCGAGACGTGTGTGTGGTTGTAACATTAGTTACACTTATGCTATGCATGGCGACAAAAATCATACAATGTTTTCAATAACGTTAAAATTAAATTAAAGGTGAGAAAAAAGATCATACTGTCAAGCATGAGAGTATCTGCTTGTATTTAATGAAAATAAAAACTAATAATTAACCTTTTTTGTCAGAATTGCCCAATAATGAAAACAAACATCCCATGCAGGTTAATCATTTTACGTTCAGAAACTTTCTACACAAGTACATTAATAAGGATCAGTATATATATATATATAACTTAAATATTATATATATATTATATATATATATATATAAATTTGCTTCAGAGATTGGCTTACTCTAGCTATATATATATATATATATAATAATATATATATATATATATATATATATAATAAATATACTATAAATACTATATAAATATATATAATATATAAAATATATATAAATATATATAAATATATATATTATATATATATTATAATATATATATATATATATATAATATATATATATATATAGGCTAGAGTAAAGCAATCGCTGAAGCAAATATTTTCCCCCCAGCATTTCCTAGTACTGAAATAAAGTAATTTAAATGGAAAATAAATAACATCTTCATTGAAAATTACTTCTGTTACTTTTGCTATAAAAAAGGAATCTTCGAACAATATTTTAGCAATAACAGTTAGAACAATATGCAAATATTTAGAAGAATTACCTTCAAAACAAAAACAAATGACTTAAAGTTTACAATATAAAATGGGACAGATGCGAGCACCAAAACTGGAAAAAATATTTTCCAAGGAACATACTTTTACTCGCAACCACTTTCCATTTCGTTGACGAGAGACAATTCAGACTAAGAATTTAACAATATCCCATCATTAACAGAACGAACACTTTAAAGTTACATGATTCATGACTATCCTTCTATATCTTCTAAATGCTTAGCATTAATTAAATGTGTTGTAGAATACTCTGATCGAATATTAAGAATGGTAAGAGAAACAATAGAATAGCGGATGAAAAGTAACAAGCAGATGACTTGGTGGTATATTAAAGGAAAATAATACTAACGTTTCTGAAGCACATTCAGAATTTCGATTTTGAAGAAACAACTGCGGCGGATCAATTATTCCATGGCCAATTGTAATATAGCCATCACCAAGACCATTAGACGTCAGTCCAGGTGTCACAACATGATGACTGCTGGTTAGAGCAGATGAATGAACAGGTCCTAAAACATATAAACAATTGTTCCAAATAATATTAAAAAATATGAGCAATTTGAACAAAAAAATTTAATTGATATTTACAAAAATTACTCTAATCTATAGGTTGATTTACAGTTTGTATAATACATTTTCTATTCTTAGAATTTAATTGCCTACCTTATAGAGGAAACACATTTACATAATTAATAAATACGTTCATAAGAGAATAGTTTTTCTTCTTATATATAATCTGATCTATACAAGTAGAAGAAAGAAGGTTCCGGATCGGTCCCTGGTGGAATCAAATATTTGTACGTGATATTCCCTTTTCACAAGAGGAAGAAACTTTATAAAACAAACAACACTTTTAAGACAACAGTTGCATTGATTGCAACTAACTTTTGTGTCTTGCTTTACCAACGCTCTTTTATATTGGGTGGGTAGGCAAGGGCAACACACAGAGAAATATTAAATTTTATAACTTCGAAAACGTTGCAGATAGTAACAATGTAAAAGTGTATCACAAGTAGAATTCTCGCAACTAAAGAGAGCAACACTGATCTTGTTATTGGAAGGTAAAGAGGAAGGATGTTATGTCCCCGCTGCAATGGAGTGAATGACCTAGAACGGGAGGTTAGTGTTAACGACAAGTGGTTGGTCACTTTGGATTTCGACTTTTCAGCAGGTACATTATACTTACCCTTTGATAAAGAGGCAATTGAAATCGTGCGATGGAAAACGGCGATTTTTACGACAGAAAAAACATTTATTGTTAGACCCTGGTAACAAAAATGTGGACAAATATTGTTCCTATATCGTAAATTATTTCCTGCAACACGTTGTGTAATCAAATTGTTGTGTATCCAAAATTGATAATACCTGATCGATTAAAAGGAACTCATGGACCTGCGAGTTTGAAACGAATATTTTCATTATCGGAGATATTTCACATAAAACCTCAATTACAGTTTCAAAATTTTCTTAAAATGGCAACACATTTTTGGACTAAATTTGTCCTCGGATAGCGTTAACATCGCTTAAATGAATTGAGGTGGTCTCATTCTCGTTAAAATCCCCGGATTTTCGAAAATACCAAACATTCAATCTTACAACTACAATACTGAAAGAAAAAACGCTAATGAAACATTTTAGCTAATGAAAGACAGATCTTGAAATAACGTCATGTACAATTTTTCGAAAAAGTAAGAAGATTTCGCGTAATACTGCGTAAAGTATAGGCAATGTTTTAAATATGTATTCTAAAAAGTGGCTCCAAATATATTCTTTAAATGTTATCCTCGTTTGTATCAAAGGTCAGTTCAAAGTCGTGCTAATCCTATTTTCGACACACCCTGTAATTTCGAAAATTGAAAAAGTTAATCCGGCGAACGTACAATAATACAAAATAAACAGATTTTTGTCTAATAAAAACTGTTCTATAATATATGATCTTTAAAAAAATCCTTTAGAATTAAAAAAAATTATCGCGTAATTTCTGCTTAAAGTTATTTCAATATACAAAACGTTCCAATTTTTCTCATTTTTTCCAGTAAGAACATGTGAAGCGTAAAAGAATAATGCATGTCTTATTTTTGTCATACTCTCTGCATTTTCGAAAACAGCTAAGGTTAGAAATAATGATAGAAAGTATGGGCTGTTGCAGAACCACTAGTTTATATTGAAACCGCGCGAGTTCTTTGTTTTAAAATTTTGGAGTTCATTTTGTCTTAATAATTCACAAGCTCTATCACGCAACAATTAAATAAAGACATTTCACTATAACCTGTGAGTACCTGTTTTGATCATAATGTAAAGAAGGCGTTGTCCTTACACTGGAATACCAAGTACTCAGTGTACATTTCAGCGGAGATTTCCCCACAATCATGATCTGGAAGTGATAAGAGCTGGCAACCAATAATATACTACTTTTGAGGGAGTTTCTTTTTGGACGTTGTGAAGCGTGAACGGTATTTTACAGGTATGTACGTGCTGTGTAGTGTATGGTGTAATGTACAATGAGCTGGAGCAGAGGACACATGTGTGACAATTGTAAACGAACCACACAATGTAATATTGTTTAAAGTATGACTTTGATGTTTTCCATGTACCTACATTCTTTTAGACAAAATAGTTCAAAAATAAACATTTTGAGTCCAACATGTTATTGGAGTCGACTTTTCCTCCTTACTTTCTCGTATACGTACATAGTATATGCGGAGTAATATACGTAGTAAAGAGAAAGTTATGTAATACGGCAGAAAATCGATTTCGAGATTTTGAAATCTTCCCTTGAGGGAAATACACGCTTTGGCTTCCCCTGATACCGAAAAAGTGGTTTTATTAAAAAAGTCCGTCGGTCCGTCCGTCCATGAACAACACTAGACCCCCTACACCAAACCTTTTTTTCCTTTTTTTAAAATGGACATTCCCCGGTCGATCTGGATCGACTCGAAGCACTGCGATTTTGCAAACATTCTTTCCAATTTGGGGGTACTTTACATCACGCCTCCCGGACATTTTCAAAATTTCCTCAAAAATGCCTCCAATTTTTTTCTTTCAATTCCTTCTAAGAATAAAGTAAAATACACTTATAAATGTGGCATAGTTCCGATTTTCACGGTTTCCTCTGAATTTTCGAAAACTGCAAACGTTTGAAATTTTTTCGGCGTCTTCCTACAACTACAAAATAGAAGATAAGATTTTCCCTTCAGATGAATTTGTTGTCCATAATTAGGTTTGTCATTAGGTCATGTACATATTTTTTAAATATTGGTAGCTTTCGCGCAATATTTGGAGCAATATATGCAATTAAAAAAATAACAAAAACATTTTCTCAAATATGGTTGCAAATATTTTCTTTAAACGTTTGGTGAGAATAGTGTTAAATATGCCCTATGAGATGACAAACCCAATTTTTCTCTATAGTTTTGTTTTTTTCAAAAATTATAATGAATTTTTTTCTTGTCTTTCACGTCGGTAATATTTTCATTAGCGGCGATTTTTTCACATTATTATTATTATATTTATGAGTATATGAGCTTTAAATTATGCCATTTACAGTTTCTTGAAAACTTAACAGTTTTCTGTGAAAACTAGTTCAAAATTCCGCATTTTCAGAAACGTTCAAACGTCATTTCCTCAAAAACGGCTCCAAATTAATTCTTCAAACTTTCCGAATGGATAGTGCAAATTGCACTGTTTAAGATGACCTAAAATTAATTTTGCTGTATTCTTTTGTTTGTTTCTTTTTCAAAAATTACACAAATGTCATTTTTCGAAAGATCTCTCACGGCTTTAATATGCACATTTCCAGCGATTAGTATACATTATCGATTTTGCGAGTGGGTGTGCTTCCAATGACTTCCTATAAAGTTTTTCTAAAATTCTAAAAGATGAATTTTGAAGATGAAAGAATATCTTCGTCAAGGCACCACTTCGTGTTCAGAAAAATAAAGCAGTCACCGTCATTGATTCCGCAGCCAGTTCTCTCGGCCTGATGCTGCCAAATTGCAGAAATTACTTCGAGCTCGACAAAGTTTTCAAGAGTTTTGATGAAAGAAATGCATCTTCAATCGATACTGGTCACAACTTTTTAATCCACAATATTAAGAAGCTTAGCACACATAACATCTATCTTACTTTCTCGCACTTACGAAGGAACTTCTTAAGGGAAAGTTATGTAATACTGCGCGAAAAAAAACGGCGAATTTTGGGCTGAAAAACTCTTATTACAGAGCCTTGGCAACGAAAACGTGGATAAATTCAGGTGGTACATTTAGAAAAACAAATCATTTAACACGTGTAGCCAGAATCCATGTTTTGTTTGTCCTTCATACCGAAAAGTCGAAAAGCCAAAAAGCAGCTTAACTGTTCAGCCGATTTTCTCCAAAACGGACATTTTCAGATTGATGTGGCTGATGTCGTGGCCCCGTAAATTTGAAAAAGGATATTTAAATGTTGCGGGGGTACTTTACATGTAGTCCCTGGGACATTTTTACAATTTTCAAAGTAATGGCGCCATCGATTCTGATTACATTTTGTTGTAGGATAGTCAGAGGAAAGAATGAGAATTAAGAGAATGAGGCACGTCTCATGTTGGTTGAAAACAGATTTTTCGAAAATTGAAAAAAATAAAATTTTTTCGGCGTCTTCCGAAATAAAGCTGAATGAAGCGAAATGAAGCCGAAACTGAAATATTAAAGATAGAGATTTTTCTCTTAATAAAATATGTTCCTTAAAGATATATTTTGAAATATAAAAAAATTCTGACCTATTGACTGCAAAAACCTTGTCACGACGGTCCGTTTTTCATTAATATCGAGCAGAATGGCTGTAAACAATACAAATTATAGTTTTTTTTATTTAAGATATCGCCAAAAAACAAAACAGGGATCTAACAAGAAGCCCGCCTATCTCATCCGCCTGAGGACCTTTTATTTTTTGGTCTACGTCTTAACTCCTCTAAACGTAACTTTGAAGTAAACATTCTTTTTACTTTCTCGCATACTATGTACTTTCGTAGTAAATTATGTTCTGCATATTATGTAACACAACGCAAAATGGTGATTTTCCGGCAGAAAAGTTGGAAGAAATCCCGGTATGAAAAAGTGAAACTAGTTATACAAAAATGCACTTTCCTGTATCAATTACTTTATTCACTTTGTTAAAATATATATTAATATACATTATATTATATAAAATATATATTAATGAATGAATGATCATGAACTTCAACTACTCATTGCTAACATTCTCATTTTAATGATAAACAGATTGAGTGCATTTAACTTCATACAGCGCCAACCTGCATGCCGCTGTCCTTCACATGCCGGATATTCGATTGGGAACGTTTGACTCACTAGACACGTCTGGTCTCCTTATTATCCTTAGTTGATTGATTCATTGACTAATTAGTGATTTCGGGAACGTCATCTGCTAAGGTCATTCCAGTCCATGTATTTCCTGTAAGTGCAGTCCATGTATTTCATTGCAAGAGGTGGCGGTGTTCTTCCCCCGCTGGATG